CATCTGTTAGATTCTAAACTCTAGACATAGATTTAGGACTAATATTCGCGTGCGTGTCGATTCTTAATGCTTCGTGTTGTCGAGTTGCGTGAGACATCATCGATGTGACGATATGGTTGATCTCTCGACTTTGCGTTAGACATAACCTCTGTTGTGAGTGATACGTGATGATATTGACGAGTGAATTAGGTTGCGTGCATTTGATCCATATATTTTTTAGTGCATGATGGGTGGAACGAAAGGGGGAGCAAAAGATTCTCACATACGGCGTCACTGATCTTACCAGATCAGAAAGAGGATCAACAGGCAGCAACACGTCGTGAGCTTCAAATTCACCAGTGGTGGAGAAGAAGAAGGGGTGTACCTGTAGGACACTCTGATGCCAAAGTGAAAAAGGGAGTGAAAGAGAAAGCAAGTACAGAAAGTGGATGACTTTTGAATACCTGATTCTCCTGTGGAGGAGTGTATTTATAATGTGCCCTCGGCGATGGGCCAACGGTCATCTGCTTTGGGCTGGGTCGTAAGGTCCATAACAGATGACTGCCAGGATCCTACATGACACTATGGAAGACCCTCGTGTGATCTTCGTTCTGGGTCAATTGGCCCACGAACTCCGGAGAGTGGAAGACTTGTTCTTTTAGACGTAGGTAGTTGGCTGATGACGTGTTCCTGCGTGGGGAGCATGTAGAGAATGTCGGGAAGACGTGTGAGATATGTTTCCTCCCATAGTGACGACAGATTGCACCTTTGTGTTGAGCCCTCCCCAACGTGGAGTTGGATTAGACCGTACTTGGCTGTAGACCACCCTTAAACCTATTTTAAAATAGAAATAGAATCGCCTTAGAAAACAAATAAAGTATTACCTCAGATAATAAATTGTTTTGAATAGTTTTTAAATTAAATAAAAAAAAGTACAATGACTTTTTAAAGTAGGTTATATTATGATAAGCTAATAAAAAAAACCAAGTTCTATATATTACTAAAATATTAGAATCAATTTTGTATGATTCATATTAAGAAATATCTTTAATCATTATTTTTTCCTTATCCGCAAAATCTAAAACACAAGTTTTTCAAATATGAATGATGAAGAATTTGTACTCGCGGGACACGCTGAGGAGAAAATAACGTAAAGGACGGTGGCCGTGACAGCGCATTAAGATGCAATGGTCACTTTCTTTCTTTCGTTATTATAAAGTAATAATTTGTTGAATAAAATTGAGTTCAATTTTCAAATAACCTCAAAATTGTCACTTTATTTTTGGGTAAGAAATCCTCAAAATTGTCATTTTCATAAAGAGAAACGAAGATAGATACAAAATCTGGAGCCAATAAGTGCTTCAATATTGCTATCATTATGTACAAAAAAAAGTGTACTAGTACGTGATATAGCAGCATACCTGCGGTTCCAAAGTCCCATCAATACGACACATTTTTTTTTTACCCTAAACAGTATTGACAAGAGAGAAAAAAAAACATCTAAAAATTTATATTAGTACTATTTTAAGAAGAAAAAATAGCAAATAAAAAAATATATTTCAAATTTTAATAATTTTTTATTTTATATTTATCCCAAGTCAGACTTAGAAGTTATCAGTGAGACTGTGACTCACTGTGAGATGAAATAAGATATTGAATCAGTTAAATAAATTTTTGGTGCAGCAGAGAAAAAATGATAAATAAGTGAATACATGTAAACAAAATTTCTTCATCCTTTACTTTTTTTTTTTTTTTTAGATCAAACTTGATTTATGCAATAGGTTAAATAATGGAATAAATGTGTCAATCAAAAAGAAAAGATGAAACCAAAAAATATTCTTTTTGACTAAAAGGCACTATATTATAATTTAAATTATTGAATTTTTTGAACTTCATATTCAACTTTTGGGAATCTTGACTCATTGAGTAATACATTATAATTGAATAACAAGCGTGTTTAAGAAAAAAAACAAACGTATTAAAAAGTAATGAAAATAAGTTTATATGACCCAAATCTATGTGATCAAATAATAACCTATGTTTCACGATAATTATTGTTATTGAAAATGTTTTATTTTTAATATCCTAATTACGTTGGGTAATAATAACCTATATAACCTATAGGAAATTACCACGAACACACGTGAACAGAAGAATATTTGTATTATTGTGGGGTCATTTTCGAGAATGATTCGATCAGAGTCCACCCGTGACAAGGTAAGGTTAAATTGGTAATTATAGGGTCTAGGCGGCTGATTCAGCTTGTTCATAGTGGCGGCTTTGATATTTTCGTGAAATAAGAAGGGTGTTTTAGGAATAATGCTAAACTTTTTAAAATATCCGCAGAAACAGACAAATTTTCCAACTTGAATCCCTCGTCCGCTAGCAACGTAGAATTTATTATAAATTTAACTTTTTAAAAGACCATCACAACTAGAGTACCCATAATACCCTTACAATATGATTTTTTTATTAAGTAGTAGTAAAATTAAGGGTAGGTTCTTTCTTTTAACTTAAAAAATAAATTTTATAAACATGCATATATATATATATATATATATATATATATATATATATATATATATATATATATATATATATATATATATATATATATATATATATATATATATATATATATATATATATATATATATATATATATATATATATATATATATATATATATATATATATATATATATATATATATATAGTTGAAATTATAATTCTTTACAAAATTATATTTCAAAGTAATTTTTATAAAAAATTTCTTGAAATTTTCAATAAAATAAGAAAATACTAAAATAATATTTTAAAAATAATTATTTAATTAAATTCATATGAAAAAATTCTTTATACATTTTTAAAACAAAAATATATAACAATATTAGGTAAATGAGAATGATATTTGTTATTGCTAATTGCTCTTTTACAAAATTTAATTAAAACATATTTAATATTTTTTTCCATTTTTAAATGACTGTCGTTTTAAAAGAAAATGTTTATTCTAATTCGACTGTCTTTCTCATTTTCCAATGTAGTAATAATTGCTATTTTTTCAATTATATTTTATAATTATTATTTTATACACTATTTTTAACATATTAATAAAACTAATTTTATAAAAATATAATATCTTATAATAATATCATTGTATTTTTTAATCTGTATGCAAAAATCTTAAATAACAATCATTTTAAAACGAAGATAATTTATATTTAATGGAGTTATTCGATGAGTATGGATGCTAAGAATAAATCAATCTATTTGAGAGTACGGTTTTATAATAGTATTGATCAATTTTTGTAAAGGATAAGTTTTAAATAGAATATTTAATTATATTAATTTGTGTTGTAATAATGTTGAAACAAGGCATAAATTATATTTTGTAATCATATATTATTTTATTTGGTTAGACCAAGTGTATGTTTTTTTGGTTCTATTTATATTTTGAGGTCTTCAACTATCATACTTAGATTCCCCTTTTAAAATCATTTTTATAATTTTATGAAAAAATTAAGAATACCTTAAAATAAGACTGCCTACTTTTTTTCTTAATTAAAATTTTAGTTTTTTTTATGAGAAATTGGTTGATGCAAATTTGCATAACTAGTCATCTTAATTCAAATTCAAAGCATTTTAATCTCTATCGTATTTTTTCACTTAATAATATATATTTTTTTAACATTATGTCACTTGTAAAAAGTTATGAGTAAATTATTATATGATTTTTTTAAAATGTAAAGAATAAAAATAAAAGTAATTTGTCACTAAAAAATAATAACATTATTAAGTTTAATACAAAAATATGAAAAGATTAAAATTATTTAAATATAAAATAGTAGAACTATTTTTATTAATAAAATAAAATAAAAAGACTAAAATAAATTAGTATTCCATTAAATTAGTCTATTTAATAGTTGCGCATAGACATCAAATATAAAAGGTGAGTTTGAACGTGCAACATGTTTCTTATTTGTATTTAAAGAGTAAATTTTAACCACTAAAATATTTAATAAAAAAATTAAAATTAATATTTTAAATCACTTTAAAGTATTTTTTGAATTTATTGCAAATATTTTTTTATGGGTATAATTTGCCTTTTATGTATAAAAAAAAAATTATATGAAAAATAATATTTTTAACCGAAGCTTTTTTATGTCTAAGAAAAACCTTTTATTACAAGGACATTAGAGTATAATTATCGGTAGAAATATATGATTCCTACACTATTACTAAAGTGATTGTGTCAGAAAATGATGAATAATTTTATAATAATATCGTTCTTTAATTTACAACCGTTGTCACATTAAGCAATGTTCTTACAAGTACCACATGTACATTTAATTAATTATTTAATCAGAAATAATTGTAAAAAGATTTATTATAAGATATTTGTGGTATTTAATGGGATCCATTTTATAAATTTTATGAGTTGTATGAATATTTGGAAAATATAGTTGAGTTATTTAAATAATTTAAAATTTTAATATAATGTAAAAAAATAAGTGAGACTTATTTAAAAAATACAAATGAGAATGATGGATGTAGATGCTCGCAATTTTTTATTACGTAAGCATGATTTGAAATTTCATTTTTTTTCCTAATATTAGGAGTAATAAATTAAAATAGAAACAATTATAATTATATAAACATATACATCCAAAAAAAGTAAGTGAATGGCATTTCCATAATATCAAACAATGTTAAGGGCATACATCTACTAGTACAAAAGAAACAGTGCCTGAAAATATATACATTATATAATTTAATTACAATGCAAATCCAAAGCCTGTTTCTTGTATTCTTATGCCAACAAACACTCTCATCTCCAAACACCATAAAAGGAGGAGAGTTTCCTGGTTTTTGTCTTCCTCTACTTCCACAAACTCCATCTTTTCTTCCTTGGTTTTCTTCCTCCAACATCACCAAAAGTAGTGAAACAAACACTTACTAGTTAGTTTTTAAATTAATTAAGGGAACATTATTTTTCTTCTTCCCTTTTTCTTAATTTTGCTATGTCAAACATCACAAGTTGTGATAGTGGAAGCTTCTCTACAGAGAATATCAGAGATCAAGATGGAGTTAAACATCATAATCATCATCATCAACAAAATGAAATACTTGGTCAATTTCATAGTCCACATTCTCATACTTCAACTACAACTACTACAAATAATAGCAATGGTTCCAACACTAATTTACAACCACCTCTTAAGAGAAAAAGGAACCTACCAGGAAATCCAGGTAATAAAACTATTTTAATTTCTTATTAATTCTTCAATTTTTTAGAAGATGTATTAGTTTTGCAAGATTTCATGTAATTAAATGTTAATCAAATTATATATAGTATGTTATATATTATTTCATGTTTTATAAATAATGATGCGTAGATTTCTACTAAAACATGTTGAAAAATGATAAATCTCACAAATGGCTAATATTAAATTTTTAGACAATGGCATACTTGGATAATTATTAATTATAGTGTATTTAATTAAAACATTTCTTGGCTCCATGAAATTAAAAGATAAGGCTTGATCTAGTATACAATAGGAAGTACTAGTAGTAATTATTCATTTATAGAGAAGACAAAGATCTATGTAGTTGGGATATGTTTTAATTAAGGTAGAATATAATTAAGATAGCTAAAAATAAACTATGAATTATTGGTTTGTGTTAGTAGGAAAAGAAGAAAAATAAAACCTCAATTATTGTCTTTGCTACAATCATTGTTGTTCACTATTGACTTTTCTTGACTCTTATATTTTCTTTTTTCTTTGTTTCACACATGTGTATTCTTTTTTAATTAATGTATTTATAACTGTTTGTGAAGATCCAAGTGCTGAAGTGATAGCTTTATCACCAACAACGCTAATGGCTACAAACAGATTCGTATGTGAAATATGCAACAAGGGTTTTCAAAGAGATCAAAATCTTCAACTGCACCGAAGAGGACACAACTTGCCATGGAAGCTTAAGCAGAGAACAACAAATGAAATAATAAAGAAAGTTTACGTTTGTCCTGAACCTTCGTGTGTTCATCATAACCCTGCAAGAGCACTTGGTGATCTTACTGGTATTAAAAAGCACTTTTGTAGAAAGCACGGTGAGAAGAAGTGGAAATGTGATAAGTGTTCTAAGAAATATGCTGTTCAATCTGATTGGAAAGCTCATTCTAAAATCTGTGGTACAAGGGAATACAAATGTGACTGTGGAACCATCTTTTCAAGGTATGAAAAACTTGTAGGTTAATTTGACTTTTCAACAGTGCTTCTTTATTTCTTTTATTGCTTGTTGCGCCAGTTGAATTTTCATGCAGTAGCTGTCCTTTTGATATTAAAGTGTCTGCGTGCCGTTTTGGCAGCTAATAAAAAGATGAACTTTTAAAATCTCATAGAACTCATTTTTTATTACAACTTTTTCTAGTTTAGGTTTCAATTAGTTGTTCTTATCACTAAGTATATATTATTAAACTTATCATGCTTAGTCAAAGATTCTACGTATATTCATGCACCATCCTCATAAGAAACTATCTTATTAGTATTTTTTAATATATAAAGGCTAACATGTGCATGCTACAAAATCAATTCTCTTAAAAATTATATTTATTGATAGAAGACCCAACATTGTTATGCATTAACTTTTATATTCGCCGTAAAGGATCCCTATCTCAGGTACTATGATATGAAACCAAATGTGTCAAAGACAAATGATATAACGTGTTGATTGTCGGAACACGTTTTTGTAATATGTGACCACTTTACTTAAGCGATTTTAAGAGTTGTCTGTTTCATAATAAAACCTCTTGTTCTTAGTCCCACGGTTCAAAAAACCTTGGTCGAGTCCACACATGCATGCATTTTCCCTCCGCTTTAGATCTTAATATATTTATATTGGTTTATTATTCTGCAGAAGAGACAGCTTCATTACTCACCGAGCCTTCTGTGATGCATTAGCTGAAGAGAACAACAAAGCCAACGAAGGTTCAGTACAGTTATCAAACATGCAACACCAACAAATTCCAAATCTCGTTTCTTCAATATTACCTTTGAACCAAAACAACTCACATATTGTTGGAGCTTCAGAGTTCAATCTTTCAGATCACAAACATCCATTATCATCGCCTCACGATCTCATGTCAGTTCCTGTAAAACCCTTCAACAGCAATATATTCACTAGAAGTCTTTCATCGTCAACTTCATCTCCTTCTCTTCAACTGAGTTCAAACAACTCACTCAACAACATCTTGGAAGAAAACGGATCACTCCATTTATCTGCAGCTGCAACCTCGCCTCACATGTCCGCCACAGCATTGTTACAAAAAGCTGCTCAAATGGGTGCAACCGTGAGTAATAGTAATGCAGGCATGGTTATGACGGATAAAACAACCGTTGCTACAAACATGATGGCGCCGCCGCCGTTATTTGGTGTGGTGCAACAACAAGGGCAGTCCTTCATGAACCACTACATGCAACAGCAACAACAACCTCAGTACATTAATAATAATTTCAATGGAAATGTGATGATAAGTGGAGGAGGTGTTAATGGATCAATGAATGGAGTTGATATGTTCAATGCTATATTGGATCAAAGTAAGGCTTTATCGAAGATCATTGAACAAAACAATCAAACTCAAAGTATGAACAATGTTGGAGGAGGAGGTGCATCGAGTAATATTATGAATATTGGTGGAAGTAAAGGAAGTGGTGGAGATGTAATGACACTGGATTTATTGGGGATAGGAGGAGGGGGTGCACATGGTAACTTCTATGGAGGAGGGGGTACTCAACAACAACAGCAGCAGCATCAAGCAGAAAGTGCTGCAGCAGCAGTAGCAGCAGATGAGGTTTGGAGAAATTGGTCAACGAAGAATGGAGGGTTTGAAACCTTTTCAGCAACCAGCAACATTTGAAAAGACCACCACCTGATTTGGTTGGGGGAACCAAGAAATAGTTAATAATAGTAATAATATTCAACTTTATTTAGTTAGTGGGTTGCTTTTATTTTTGTTTTTATTTTAATATAGTATTTAACTACCCCACACCCTCTTCCTTTCGACCATGACACATCAAATCATTGGTCGATTTTGCATTTATGACAAGCTAGTCAGTGTAAGTGTAATGTTGTAGACTCTTTTCGTATGAAAAATTTGTATTCAAATGTTACAGTGGCAAATCATTAATTAAGGGCAAATTCTCTGTTTAATATACTACACGTTTGAATTTTCATAACATATATTGGCAAACGAATATCCAAATTAAAATGTAGTGTTGAGAACCCGAATGAATGATAGCCACAAAAACTAGATAAGTGCTATGCTATCCCAACCAATCACGATGCACCGCTTCATTATTTATTTTTTAAAGATGTATAGCATTTTTTTTAAGGAAGAGGTTACTTTAACGTAGAGGATGAAATATATGTTACAGTGCCTTATTTCTTTATGACATAAAGTGTTGAAAGATGGCGGTGCAAGTGCAAGTGCAAGCGAGGTTTGGGGCATGGAACAGAAATGGCATAGGAATAGTACGGTGTTCGAGCGAGGGAGAAGATAAACTGAAAGTGAAAGAGGCAGTTGTGTGGTCTCCGGCGAAGGAATTGGCTGCGAAATTTGAGCGGCGGCTTCTTGTGGGTATAGGTTCGGCTTCACTTGTAGCTTTAGGTGCAAATTTTGGTGGCATCACAAGTTTTTTGTTAGGTTTGTCGCCATTGAATGGTCGTAAGCTGAAGCTAGACGTGCTTTATCCCATCGGCGGTTATACCCGTTACATTGATACCAGGGAGGGATTCGGTAATTTATTTGATTCGCTTTATTATATACATTAAAAAGCTTAGTAGTACGTTTAATTAATTGTTAATTTGGATGGTATATTAACTTAACAGAATTTATATACCCGAAGAATTGGGTTGGAGATCAGACACTACTGTATCGAGCGGCTAAAAAAAGAGAAATGGAACTATCATTGGATCCTCCACCGCTGAATTTTCGGCCACGTTCTAATGTCACGGAACCAGTTGTTGCATTTGGTCCCCCGGGTTCCAATGGTGAACTCAATCTTAGTGTTATTGTTTCGCCAGTTGCTCAAGACTTCTTGTAAGCATATGCTCCTTAATTGAAATGTCATTTCACTTTCATCATTCTCATGTGCTTATGGAAACTTTATTCTTTTTAACTTTTACAAGGATTGAAGCATTTGGAAGCCCTCGGGAGGTGGGGGAAGCTGTAATTCGAACCATAACAGGATCAGGGCAGCGCCCGGACTTGAAGGGAACATTGATAGAATCAAGTTTGAGAGAAGATCCCGCTAAAAATGCCAAATACTATGAGTTAGAATTCAAAGTTGAGAGCCCCTCTTTCCGGCGACACAATGTTTGTGTCTGCTGTGCACGTGCTGGTAGGCTTTTTACGTTAAATGCCCAGGCACCTGAATCAGCCTGGCCTGGGTTGAAGTCAGATTTCTATACAATTGCTGATTCGTTCAATCTCACAAGTTAGTGATTCGGGTAAAGTTTTATAGAACCAACGGTAGTGGTAGTTCCATGAGACAGGGCCAACAGTACAAATTAAATATATATATCACGTCGACCTTGAAACTCCTGTATATTGTTTCCAAAACTAAAATTTTGATTTGCTTGGCTATGTTTTATCTATGTGGGATACCTGGCCGTTGCCAATTTTGAATCCCAAACATTTCTGAATTTGACTAAAAGGGCAGCACGCACAAATAGAAATAAATTTGTGACTTCATATATATTTACTAAAATTACATGTTTCTATTCCACTTTCTGAAATAAAATACAGATCTGACATCTCTCATTACAGCATGATTCTATCTCTTTTGTCGGTAACTATTATACACATTCAATACTTATCTCTACGTATCTGATCTACTATACTGAAACATACCAATCTGCAAAAGACTGCTAAAATATAATTACTGTACGTAACAGCTCTTTATGCACAAGTAATTTGCCTCCGTTTAGACATCTTCTCGTAGTTCTCAGAAACCATTGCAGTCAAATTAGGGTCTCCGTATCCAATCTCTCCACCAAGTCTAGCAAAACATCGCATTGCAAACAAACATAAAGGACATGGAGATGTCAGGACATAAAATCAAAGAATAAGGAAACAAACATAACATTTCTGTCTAAGGTTGAACTTGCGGGAATCCCATAGGGAAACTAACCAATTTTAAAACCCTTGTGAAAAAAGACTCTTAAGTCAGGATAAGGGCATACATCAGTCAAGTGTGTGTGTGTTAGAGAATATGTCGTGTCTATGTGTTAGAGAGATAAACAGGTCATATCTGAAATTTACATACTTTGGGTCAAGTACAAGTTTTTGAACTTCTTTGATTGCTGAACTTGCGGCATAGAGAGATATCTTCCCAACCTGCATAAGTGTACAAAAATAAGTTCAGGAGTAAGATCTAAGTATATAATTGAAAATGCATTATTTAAAGGAGACATAAATCGTAGACAAGTGGTAACAAACAAAAAAAGAACTTGACAATTATATGCAACTCTTCTCGTTGCTGACCTCCAAAACTTGAAGCTTTGCGTCATGTTCATTAGGTAAACGGCGAACTTCCTCTGCCAATCTTACAGCCTCCCCCAGGCTTTCAGGAGATAAGAAATCAAGGCCCAATTGAACAGTGGACTGAAAATTTCAAAATATAGAGATGATCACAGGAGAATTTATAATGCGTTCAGAAATATTCTGTAATAACTAAAGAGATAATGTTAATAATGATACACTAATCAGATGAAAACTTTCATTCTTTGGAAGTGGTTCAAGTATCGAATATAAAAAAACTAATAAGGTCACCGGTTAAAATACATAAAGTGAACTCACCTGAACATTTCTTGCTTGAAAAGGGCAACCAGCAGGAACAAATATAGCTTCCCCCAAGTTCTGTTCAAATGACCACGGCTCCACTCCTACATAGAAAAACAGTGATCACGTTAGAAAGAAAGAAGATAAAAATAAAATAAAACAATTACTTTTGGAAATTTAGTCTACCCACAATTTAGCACATCAGTGCCAAGCTCTTCGTGACAGTCAAATACACGTGCAAATTACTCTCAGATACCTCAATTAGACCGCATACAATTTTTTTAAGCCAGCAAATGTATTTTTCATTTTTTTCCGGAACAAACATTATTGAAGAGGGTAATGAAGACTGAAGACAGATACTGGCACAACAAGAACCGGGAGAGAAATCCCCCGAAAAAATTGAGGGCATTCAAGAAAACTACATTGTGCAGAAAATTATCAAAGGTTATACTGACACACCAACCCTGGGGTCAATACTACATTTCATTGAAAATTAATAAAATCAAAGGTTATTGCAGAAAATTATCAAAGCATGCAAATTGATATGCATGGTGAGGCATGGATGTATGGAAAGTGAGGATGAAACAAGAAAACGCTAACTGACCCATGTTGGATGTTTAACAAGGGAGGTAAAAGGTTTCTTTTTATGAGGGGTGACTTAAAAGGTTGAAGCCAAGTAATAACCCCACATTGCACGCTCAATTCAAAATAGAAAGGCTAAAATAAGAGTATACGCTAAAATACAAAGGCTAAGCTTTGGAAAGATTTTTTAAGATAGGAAGGGGATACTAAGGTTGATTTTGTATTCATGACTATGCAGGTTCAACTGTGTCGACCTAACAATTCATAATTATAAAAGTACGATCTTACCAAATTCTTCCTTCAACTTTCTTTTATGGAGTCCGTCAAGAAAAATAGCTCCACCATAAAGAGGCCATGTAACCTTGAATCCAGAGGAGCACAATTATCATCAGCAATAAAATATCAAAATAAGTAAATTAACCAAAGAATTGAGAAGAAATGTCACTTTAATTGTTCTGTAAGACTTACTATATCATCTGACTTCCCAAATTCCTTCCAATGCATTTTCAAATATTCAGTCACCTTTGGAACATCCTGTCGACGAAAGACATCCCAAAGAACTCCAGGATGTGTTATCTCAGAGGTGACTCCATTTTGTTTTAATGGAATTTCACAATCGACCATATTCCCTTCAGCACTAGAATAAACTTCATACCCTTGATCCATGGTTGAATCTTTCTGGTCTGATTCCAAATCCAGTCCATTAATTTTTGTACAAAGGGCTGAATCAGGTGAACTCCCTCTTGAACATATATGTGGTTTCTGCGTCATTTCAATTGTTGTTCTCTGCCTGTCCTTCCGCTTCACTTCACTTGTATGCACCAAAAGGTACACCTGTTGAAAACCAGTAAACTTAGTGTCCAAAAAACAGCACATTTGTTACTTTACTCCGCCTTGCCTACTACTTTCCTTTTCTTTCTTCAAAAAACTCAAAACTCTAACATTTCACTCTAGAAAATATAATACAAAAAGGAGACAGATTAACAAATTTATATATTTGTTAATCTGCAGAGTTTGGGTAAAATATCCAAATGTTTGGGTATTTGAATTTAAACGGCACTATGTTGTTAATCCAAGATAGAATCCTACAACACCAACCCCCTAAAATGCTATAGCATATATTACAAAGACTAAAAATCAGTGTGGAATGGAAACATAAATACTCAAATAAAAGAATATATATATATATACAAAATTAAAGAGACCTTTGTAGTTAATAATTAAATAACCCTAAAGTACAAAGCAATAAAAGTTAAACAGAGAAGAAAAACATAACATAGCTGAACCAAAAGTAGGAAGAACATAATGATTGCTTGTGAACAAGAACATAACAGAATGAAGAACATAAGAAAAACATAACATTGCCGAACCAAAAGTAGGAAGAACATAATGATTGCTTATGAACAAGAACATAACAGAATGAAGAACATAAGGTATGAAATGGGCATTTATACCCTTGAAAAAACAAGGATGTGAAAAAAAGACTTCGAGGAATTTTGCCCTGAAATCCCTAATAGTAGTTGTAATGACGGTATGCTTGCGGGCCAAAAGTGTCATGCAAGACCCTAAAAGTAGGAAGAACATAATGATTGCTTATGAACAAGAACAACATAACAGAATGAAGAACATAAGGTATGAATGGGCATTTATACCCTTGAAAAAACAAGGGTGTGAAAAAAAGGCTTCGAGGAATTTTGCCCTGAAATCCCTAATAGTAGTTGTGATGACGGTTTGGGACGCTAGGCCGCTACACCCGCTACTATAGCGGCTTGCGGGTCAAAAGTGTCATGCAAGACGCTACCACCACTCCACTACGCTATTCCGCTATAGCATGCTATTGACAACATAGTGGGGTGGCACATTATAAATTGTCACTAAGGGGCCGTTTGTTTGAAAGATTCAAAAATAATTATCAGGAAAGTTATCTGGGAATATAAACGTGGAAATTTTAATTCCTGGGTATTTTTTAGAAAAAGTGTTTGGCATGTAATTTGATATTCCTTGGAAAATTGGTAGTTATACTTTTTCAAAAAAAAAAAAATTGAGTAAAACTTCATGGGAATCCACATTCCCACCTTCTCACGTGAGAATAAAACTATGGGAAATTAGGGAAGTTATTTAGTTTATTTCTTTCCTGGGAAGCTTTATATCTAGAAATATTTTTTTTTTAACTTTATAACAAACACGGGTATAACTACTTTCTAGCCATGTATTCCTCAAAATGTGATTCTTAGACTTGAAACAAATACCCCCTATTTATCAAAAAAAAATACGCCCTAAGCACTTATAATCAAAAACTGCAATGTTTAATCACAAATATAAGCAACCTGCATACATTAATCAGAAAATTTAGAGGATAATAAGTACATAATTAAGCATAAATTAACAATGAACTATCAAATTAATTAAGACTCTTGAAATTTAAACGGAAACTATAATGACGTTGCAGCTTGTAAAACATTGTGTCTCCTAAAAAATCAAAAGTGCAAGAGATAAAATAACCATTTCCATATCTTGGGTTAATGAGGATAGAGAAACATACCATGTCACGCATATTGAAGTGGAGTTTTGTCACAGAATCACCTCTGCCAAGTTCACCATTAATCCCGTAAGATATGTAGATCTTGGGTCCTACATCATTCTGCAAGGAGTAATGAGGCAACTTAGCTGCAACATTAAGAAGGCCCCACTTCGAATGAATATACTGAAGTAAAGGCAGCTTGCTGATAAACTCAGGTCTTTGGTACAAAAGAAATTCTTCAGATGCTCTAGGTGAAGGCCAATCTTTCAGCTTCAATATCTGTGGCCAACCATTTTCAAGAATACGCCCCTCAGAATATCCTTTCATAAACTGACCAAGTTCGATATCAACCTGTCAAAAACAGAGAATAAATTCAGTCATAAAGTATAGTAATTTAAAAAATGATTTACTAGTATACACGGCAATAGAAAATCAATACAATTTAAACTGCCAAAAAGAGAAGATCTACAGATGTGTACCTCAGACCCATCTAAGCAATCTATGGCCTTAACCATTTTGTTATCATCTTTCATATTTGCATCTGTAGTCTCTAGAA